AGATTTCACCCTTGTGTTTAACTTGGCAGTATTTGTCCTCATTGCATTGTTTTATAACAATGACATCTTACATGATTCACACGACTAGATTTTAATGGAAAAACCTGCTGGTTTTCATAAGATTTGAAAGGAGTGGTTGAATAGAAAGGCTGTTATAAAGTTTTTGTCCATTTTCAAACCAAGCAATAAATCCTAAAAGCTCTGTGTCCAATGTAAACCATAAATGAAGCAGTGCTGAAAAGTGTTCATACTCATTTCCCAGTGCAATTGGAAAAATGCAAGTACTGTAATATCAGCTTCTGTTGTTTCCCTTTCAACTCCCCAGACTCTCTCTCTCTCCTTCTCTTTTCCTCTCTCTCTCTGTCAGGACAAAAAGGTGTAATTTAATTTGCTTTTCTAATTATTAAGTTCATTAAGTCAAATTCCCTTCTTAGTTTTGTTGCCAAACATAGTCACATTTTCCTATGAAAAATGTAGTAAGAATGAGTTTCTGTCATATGTCACAACATGGATGGAACCTGAAGACATGTTATATGAAATGTCAGACACACAAAGACAAATATTGTGTAATTGTATGTATATGAAGTACTTGAAATGGTCAAATTCTTTCTCAAATTTAGGGATAGAAAGTGATTACCTGGGGTTGGGGGACAGCAGAACAGGGAGCTATACAGTGGACACAGACTTTCAGTTTGGGATAATGAAACAGTTCTTGAGATAGACAGTGGTCGTGGTAACACAATACTTTGAAAGTATTTAACTCCTGGGATACTATTCAGCCATAAAAACAACAAAACCCTGGAATTTGATAGAAAGTGGACGTATATGGAAGTTCTGTTGCTGAGTGAAGCAAGTCAGGCTATGAAAGAGAGACATTGTATGTCTCCACTTAACATAAACCGACTGTCAGCACTCTATGGCAGAAACTGAAAGACTGGAGGACATACAAGCATTAAAAATTATTATGCATACTACAGCCAAAGTGGAAAGAGTTTTTTTTGGGGGAGTAGAAGAGTATAGGAAAGGAAATTTGGGGGAAAAAATGGAGAAGTAAGGCATTTGTGGGATGTGGATATGGATTTTTATTTGTTGATGAGGACGTGCGTATGTTCTCAACTGGGCTGGACTGAGGTGTGTGTCATGCTGGGTAAAGTCTCTTTACAATCTAAATGATTTATGATGATTAAATGTATAAATAATAATTAAAGATAATAAATAAAAATAACAAAAAGAAAGTATTTAATTCCACTGAACTGCACACTTACAAAGGGTTAAAAAATGGTAAGTTGTACTATATTCTATATATAAAACCACATTGAGTGGCAGATAACTAGTAAGAACATAAGACAAATGAATACCTTTTAGACTATATTTTTATTCCCTAATTTTGGAGAAGAGATTTTTTATTTTTCATTTTTCTTTGTCTTCAATAAGTAAAACTTATTATTTTACTAGTGTTCACTTAGTGAACACTAGTAAAACCTTGTAATTTTTAAATTTTATGTAACACTAACAATAAACCAACAAAACTTAACTTTGACTATCCTTAATATTTAGATATCCACAACAAATTTATCTAATAAATTAATTAATAAGGATAAAAAGAATAAACTGAATGCTTCTAGAATCTAATTTTCTGACTTCCAGCAACAGTGTGTTATATGTATAATGGAGTTTTAAGAGCTGATATTTCCAATAAATCCAGATAAAGAGAGGACATTAAAAAAATTTTTTGTGTGGTGATGGATGATGAAAGAATGGAAGGATATTTAAGGAGCCTTTCACAAAACTTCAAAGAGAATTGAGGTTTAATGTGTTTCAGAAGAGGGAGCTGTGCCAGCTCCCTCATAGTACTAAGTGAAGCAACAGACTTCAGGGGGATAACTGTGACACACCTGAAAAGGATGAATCACAGAGAATGGCATCTCACACACAGTGATGTCTACCCAGGATGAAGAGATTGGGCTCACCACAGAGCATGTCCTCAGTGACTATGCAGAGAGCAGCTATTCCCCCTCACAAGACCCAACTGCATTAGAGGCATGGCCTTGGCACTGTTCTGAATAGAATGGAAGTGGTATCTAAGATTGACTAACTTCAGTATTTTCTAAGTCCAAGGAGTGAATTTTCTTTCTTTTTTCCTTTTTTTAAATTTTTTTGAGAGGTTTTCGCTATAGGGTGTGTGCGTGCACTCACCAGAAAGACAGAGACAGGGAGACAGAAAGCGAAAAATCACTTCCAGGGAGGATGGCCACGCTGCAATCCCTTTTCCTCCATTATCCTCTTGGGATCTTGGGCATGCACAAGCGTCCGACATGAGTTTAAGCCACCGGTCCAGGACTCTAATTGCAGTTGACTACATGGGAGTCCAGTGACATAGCTGTTATACCAACTGCTGATACAATGAATTTTCAAAATAGACAAAATTTATTTTTGAAAAATGTATTGTTACCTACTTATATTTTATAGTAGAATAAATTTTAGGACCACCGAGTAAGTGTACTGTTTCCTAAAAAGAGTGTTTAAAATCATTGCTTTATCTCACTATCAATGGTGGTTTAACTGTACTTTAATAAATAGATTTATTTTATTAGGAAATAGGCATTGAATTTGTAATATACCATTTTAATGTACTTTCCTATGAAGTCAAAATCATATCTGGTGCTAAAATATAGTGACTCTGTTAAACTCATTTTCTTAGTTTATTATTATTTTCCTTCTGTCCTATGCATTGTTCTTTTTACAATAGATTGGCTTGATTGGTTTTCCATAATTTTATTACATATTTCATTATAAGTTATCTACAATCATTTCTTTAAACATAGCAATAAAAATTAATGATAAGCAAATATAAATCATTTTGGCTTTAGTTCCAGAAAGACTCGTATTTCTCTTGTTATACTGCTTCTGTATCCATGAATCAAATTCTCTATATTTACTGTTTCTCTGGCATTCCACTATCTTTTCATCATGTCACTTTTGCTTATTTAGTTTTCACTAATTATTATCAGATTATAAATTTATAGATTTTTTCAGCTATTTACTAAAGCAAGATTTGCTGTATTTTGTGTTTATTTTATGGTAACATAAAGAGATGACCTAATTGATTTCAAACCTGGATTTTACCACTTTTGAATTATTTTACTCAACAGGTTACTGAACATCTCTAAGTCTTATTTTAGGATTTTCAACCTATTTCCTATATTCCACATGTTCATATGTCAATAAAAGAGCTCCTATCTTTAGGATACAGTATATCTTTTTATTGTAAATATGTGTACTAATGCTGCTTGCTACTTTCAATGTTATAAAAAGTTAATATAAATGCATTCTGAACTATTTAATTAAATGTCTGTTTTCTCCAGAGATTCATTGTCTCTGCTTTTAATTAGGACTCTTTTAATTATCCAAGTTTTATGGAGAAAGGAGTTAGCAACTTTGATGTGTAACTTTTTCCTGTGTACCACTAAATGGAAAATAATCTATTGACAGGATAATAGTTGGGTGAAAAGCGTATCAGTCCTTCAAAAGAAGAAATGTGATATGAACTACAGTTTACCATTTGGGAACCTAGCCCCTTAACCACCATGCCACCTGCTGTCCCCAAGATATATAGGTTGTTTTTTGGTTTGTTTGTTTGTTTTGTGTGTTTTTTTGCCTGTGAGAAAGAGTGAGACAGAAACAGTGAGAGGGGAAGTGAGAAATCACTCTCCACACCCAGAAGGATGGCCATGCCACAATCTCTTCTTCTCCATTCTCCTCCTGGGATCTTGGATACACATGCACACACACCCAGCGTACGTTTCAAGCCCCTGGATCCAGGACTCGAACCGCTGCTAGTCAAGTGGGAATCCAGCAATGTAACTGCTATGCCATCTGCTGGTCCCCAAGACATATGATTTTTAATACTAATATTATTCTCCAAGAATAGGCTAAATTTTGCTGGAGCACAAAGAACCACCCATGCTCATTGACTTTCACCAAAAAAGTTCACTTTGTAACTCACTTGTCCAACATAAACTAGATCATGCTGAGACTCAGAGTATTGCTCTCACATGAAGAAAAGATGAACCTCTCAAGGACTCTCAAAGCTTCTTAGAAATGGCTCACCTCTTCTCTCTCATTGCATTGACCATAACGAGTTACAGGGCTATTTCTTGCATTCATGGACAGAGAAATCTTAGCCTCTTCTAAGCAGGAGATGATAGAAAGGTTCTATGTGGAAGGTCCCAGAGGGAGGCATCCAATAGTTAAATGGTAATACAAGCTACTCCACTGTTTGTAACAGCTTCTTGTCTTGACAAAGGATAAAAACAGAGTGAAGAATTCCTTGTTGTCTGACATCAGTAATAGGAGAATAAACTAAAGACTATGAAAGAAGAGTTAATGCATCTCAGAAAAAAGCATTCTTTATAAATCCAAAGTTATATTATAGTTTCTCTACCTACATTTGTGTTTTGAAAGCTTAAAAAATAATTTCATTGAGAAATAATTTTTAGAAACAAACACTGGCATATTTTTATTTAATAGAAAATTATAATATATAGAAATTATATTTTCTAAAGATTCTGATTAGGTGGAACCAGCAGTTAGCGTAATGGCTATGTCACTGGACTCCCACGTAGTCGACCATGGTTCACGTCCCGGACCCGGTGGCTTAAAACTCACGCCAGACGCGTGTGCGTGCGTGCCCAAGATCCCAAGAGGAGAATGGAGGAGAAGGGATTGCGGCGTGACCATCCCGAGTGGTGATTTCTCGCTTTTTGTCTCTATGTCTCTCTCTGTCTGGTGAGCGCACACGCCCTATAGCGAGAAACCTCTCCAAAAAAAAAAAAAAAAAAGATTCTGATTAGGTGAAAATCCTGTCCTTAGAAGGTCTAATTTTTTTGTTTTAGTTTTTCTATTTGGTTTTTGAATCAAATTTATGCAGTTAATGCTATTATAAACACTGATGATTAATGATGATGGAATTAATTATTTTAACAATTCCTTCTTTCTAGGAGATGACCATAAAAAACTCCTTATATTATAATGGAATTATTCCAGGCTTTGGAAAATGGAATCATTACTGGAAAAGCATCCCCAGGAATCTCAAGAATACCTTAGTCAGTTATTAAAGATACCAGCTCATAAGTAGCTGGGAATTTCAGCACTGATTATTGAGTTTTGTTTTGTTTTGTTTTGTTTTTTAGTTTTTCATCTTAAATTACTATACTGGATTATCAAATTGCCTTACATCTTCATTTTTTTCACAAAGAGCAGCTTCCAGCTAGTTTTTAAATAGAAATTAATTCTTATTAGTATATTTCTTTTGGACAACTAAATCTTCTATTAAAGTTTTTATGGTTTACTGTGTAAGTTCTATATCAGAAAAGAAATAAAAATACTTCTCATAACAATAATTTTCAGGGTACCAAAGAATTTTATATAAAATGATTTATGTCATGTAAATCCTAACTAGACACATTTAAATAAAACACCATGCTTTAACCCATTAGGTTAATTATGAAATTGAAACAAAATAGTTTACTTTTTTTTTTTTTTTTGGAGAGGTTTTTGCCATAGGGAAAATACGCTTGCCAGAAAGACAGAGACAGAAAGCGAGAAATCACCCCCCAGGGGAGATGGCCAGGCTGCAATCCCTTCTCCTCCATTCTCCTCTTGGAATCTTGGGCATGCACGCACATGCGCCCGGCAGAGTTCAAGCCACCAGGTCCAGGACTCAAACCGCGGTTGACTACATGGGAGTCCAGCGACGTAGCCATTAAGTTAACTGCTGGTCCTTACTTTTACTCTTCAAAACCGACAAAACAATAGTGATTTTTATTACCATCATACATTTATTCACAAAGTGTGCCCTGTTTACAATGCTTTCTATAGTAAGCAAGAAGAATTCCTACCCTGCATTTACTCCCCAAAATATTATTTCATAACCAAACCTGCCCATGATTCTAAAATAACTTATTTTAAAATGTAATGCTATTATAATTTCCATTATCAAGGCCATTTTGATTCATTTTCTTTGATGTAATGGGTCCTTATAATTTCTACAATATTCTCTCCTGTAGAAGAGCCTACATTTCTCATTTTTAAGTATTTGATGTACAAAATTATTTCTGATAAGACTTTATGCTTCCCAATAGTTTATCGATACAATATCGATAATTCTAATATAAGCAGAAGAGATGGTAGAGTTGAAGGGATCAGAAATGTCAGTAAAATATAAAAATCTCACTTGGTTCTTAATCCCTGGTTAAAGACTGGGAGTTAATTGAATCTACCAATTTTGTCAGAGTAAATTTTAAAAATGAGCTTCACACTACATATGACTTATCTAATAGAGCATTTTAAAATGCCATTTGATCATTCCAAATGTCTTCCAATACAAAAGTGGTTTCTAATTCTCCCAAGATTTGCAATCCAAATAAACTTTAATTTAATTTAAAATGATAGTAAGGTGTGACCCTTAGAACTTTCAGAAACAGTGGGAAAAAACATTAGACACTCAGAACTTTAAAATGCTTGCAATATTTACATTACTCATTCCGGAATATTTATTTAGTGTTTAATACATGTCAGGCACTGAACCAACCATGAAAGATCACATGTAATTAAAATCTGAACCTTCCTCTTAGGAGCTAATCCAGACTTAGGGAAAAAGTATTTAATAAAAATATGTTAATTGCATAATAAATAGCACTATAAATATATGCTAAATACAATGATGTCATCCAGGAAACAGTAGTTAAAATATTTAATTTTTCAGAGAAGTTTTAATTTAATAAGAGATAATAGTTGAGATTTTAATGAAAAATTAACATTTTTCTAAGCAGATCTAAAGATTTAAGACTTCTCAGTCAGGAAGAATTAATAGCATTGTGGAAGCCTGGGAGAGCAAAGCACAGTACGTATTTCAGGATCTGTAATTAACTAGTCATGCCAAAACCAGGAATTCCTTGCTAAGAAATGTCTGGAGAAGATGTGTTAAGTGTTGAGGTACATAACAGTTTGGTGGGTGTGCTATTATCTAACTGCACAGGGCCTCATGCTTAGAAAGTCCTGTTTCAAGTTTAATGCTTTTCTTTTCTTTTGGCAGTTTCTTTTTTTAATTTAAATTTATTTATTTACATTCATTCACTGTACATCATTATAGTATCCAAAATGTGATTTCCCATCCAGAATACACTGTATATTGATTGGCTCAATCAAGCACATCAACATATGTGTTATCGTCAACAAATAATTTTCCATTTCTTGTTTCCTGTATAATTTTGCTTTTTTTCCCAACCTTGATTCCCTATTTCTCACCCTCTGCCATCTCCCATCCCCCTCCCACACCGTCTCTGGTATCCATGGTTGCCTTTTATTCCCCCCACACTTTATTGACTCGCTGAAGATCTTAATTAGTCTAAATATTTTCAATAGCAAGCGCAGCTGATATATATATATCCATGAACAGAAGTTGGACTTTAGGCATAAACCTCAGTGAGTAGAATGAACATCCTATAAAGTAGCACCTAGCTGGGCCGATATAGCTTACTGCAGTCATCAAATAGGTATTTTTAATGCATTTTTTAATTTCAATAAAAACAGGTTTAGTTTTTTTTCAGGTATCATATTGAAATTCTTAATAATTTATGAATACTGGGCCCCATTTTTAAATTTCTTCTTCTTTATTTATTTATCTTTGCACTGGCTCCACACATTATGCTGCTGCTCCTCCATGAGACCCATATTATGGCTAACCATACATGCCATACTATGCCTTGTGAGGTCACAGGCCACAGGGTGAG